TACCTCCCTAAACAAAAACACGTAGCGGCATACGGTTGCGCCGGTTCGAAGCGACATCAATCCACGTCTGTTCGAGGCGCGAAAAAAAAGCGAGGCTGGGTGTATTTTCCCGCGCAATAATTCTCCCTCGTTAAGAAAGCAGGGAAATCCTGGAGAACATTAATTCAGATTGGCTGAGCAAGACAACGTGCGCGCACGAAACGCGAATTCAGAGTTAATCGCGTTACATTGAAGGCCTCTCGTGAAAACACAACCCCTTCGATAACAGAAACGACAACAGCTCGTTACCGGCGCCGCCATATTTGACCCTCTTCCTCTCTTGGTCCTAATTTTGAAACTCGTCTGCCTGCCGTGTCGTACGTAGGACTTCTGGAGAGGAATCCAGAAGAGAGAAAGGCGCGCAGGGACGAGGGGGAGGGGGTGTGGATGGGGGTGGAAAGAGAGAACTCGTAAACGAGGTCGAGTGTCGGCAGCGTATAATTTCGATGACAAGCAAAGGGGTGGTTATATCTCGCCCCGTTTCTCTCTTCTCACTCCACGTGGACTGCGAGTGGTGAGCCACCCCTGTGATTGTATTAATTCAACCTTCCCCCACCCCACTCCCGTCTTCGCATCAACCAGTCTCCGTCCTCCTTTGGCGTCGTGCTCGCTTGCTCGCTCTCGCATCTTGCTCCGGCTCACGCGATGGCCCTCACGTTCTCTCCTCCCTTGCCCATCCCACCGGCGCTACCCTCCTAAAGCACGACTTCCGGAGGCAAACGAAGCGTGCGAGCGTCGTGTATAATGAAGCGCGCTCGTTCGTTTCCTCGCCGTTGTTCCAGGCGTCGTCACCTTCCTCCGTGTCCTCGGACTCCCCCCAAAGATTTCTGAATATGCCCAAATTTAAAGGTGGCCTCCTCTTTGGGGAATTATCACGCGACGCCGGAGCTACCGGTTACGAATTCGCGAGGAGACGAGTCGGATTTAGACTCAATTTCATCGGGACGCGATTGGAAGTCGAGGCTGAGAGGGTTGGTCGAGATTGGTCTTCAGGATCGAGGGAAGTGTACGAACCGAAGTATACGAATTTCGATAGCCATACGACTTTGCTTATTGCCACTCTTCCACAATTATTATAATACACAGGTAACCCAAGTCTCAACCTTAGGGACATTACGATGCATCTATGCAAAATTTAGTAATTACCATTTAGGCTCGGTGTATATTTAATCAACGCAACCTTGTTACACTCCCCACTCGATGCTTCGATTACGAACCATTTCCACGCCTTCCATTTATAAATCAAACCTCCAACTGTCCAATAACACAGTCTATCACTCTCTATTTCTCAAAGATATTTTCATAGTATTAAAATTTCTGTTACTACTGTATTCCCAGGAGGCACTGCTTGGCACTGATTGACTCACCTCCAAGAACATCAAGTGGCCCATTTCTCCCCAATTCTTTATAAAACACCCTTCTTCGTGTTGTAGCGTAACGTGTCACCCGACCGAGCTCAAAATCCGATAAATTACATACGTACCTAGTCAACCTAACCCAGTTTCACTCCCCCTCCCTCTCGACGGTTCGAATGAAACTAATATTTTGGCCCGCTGCACATAGAAATTACAGAAAGTACACGTTAGGAAAGTATCGTTTGAAACGATCTATCCGAACAGTTCTATTTCTATATCGTTCCGAGGTCCTTTAGACGAGCCCTTGAGAAAAAGACGGATGTACCAGACGGAGATTTAGAGGAGAAAGAGGATAGGAAATAGGACGACGGAGGAGGGGTGAAAGTAGGAGAAAGGGGTACAAGCCGTTTAGCGATATTTCACGGGGCTCTCGTTCGTAAGGGTTTCTAACCGTGCACGGTATTACTGGAGGCAGTCTTGCAAACTCGAGATAAGGAAAGGCTGGTTCTCCGTTGGCGACAGTGTGAACGGAAGCTAAGACGCTTCACCTTAGCTCCGACTTCTCGCACGTAAGAGAAGAGGATATCCCCGGGAAGAAAGCCGCGGGAAACCCCCTCGTCTCTACCTTTCGTTGCCACGCAATGCCTTCTTTACCTCCACGACCTCGTTTAATATCGCCCGCTTATCCTCTGTCGCCATTCCTTTTATTCATCCGCTTTACTTTTTATCCGTGGCAGGTTTAGGCCAATATACCTACGAGGCACACCCTCTTTGAGGTGAAATTAGAGAAATTGTCTTCGCGAGTGCATCGATGTATTCCAATTTTCAGGAAGGAATTTAGAACGGGAAAATTAAATGTCCTAGAAGTTCTAGACTTACGATACCATATAATCTCCTTCTTCCTTTATTTCACATGATTCTCACCGTCTTCAAGGTGAAATTACATTCATGAGTGCATCGATGCATCTTAATTTTCAAAAAGGAATTTAAAAGAAGAACGCCAAAAATTCTGGAAGAGTTATATAGTTTATTCCACAAATTGTTAGTACAACTGTTCGATATAATATATTTATTGTATTTATTTGGTTTTTAATCTTACACGTATCAGCATGTTGGATCGTATAATAGTGATAAAATAATTTTTTGAAAAAAAAAATCTGCATTATGGACCGAACACTCTACATTACCGACAGAGCAATCTGCATTACCGACAGAGCACCCTACATTACCGACAGTGCAATCTGCATTACCGGCAGAGCACTCCAAATTACCGACAGAGCAATCTGCATTACCGACAGAG